TTTTTTTTTTTTTTTTTTTTACATTAGAAACATTTCAATGATCATAAGGGAGTATCAGAAAGAGAGATAAAAGTTTTTGAAAATCATTTAACTTTTTACATTCAAATAAGATCAAATGTCACAAACGGAGAGACAGAGAAAGTTGGGAATGCTGTCCTGAAAGATTACTTTACAATCTCTCATTTAAGAACTCTGCAAAGGAAATGCTACCTACAGATTTTTTCAGTATTATTAAAACGTTCTTCTTTTACTATCACTATTGAAGCCTGAAGGCTACTTGTTTAGTTTCATCTGTAAATACTTCACTACAATACACAATGTGTAGATGATTAAACTAAGGGCAGGTCCCGGTTCCTACCTTTACAATGGAGGGATGCTAGTGACTCGCAGGAGACAGAATGTGAGTTGCCTGGAGCACTGTTCACATGGCCAAGCTAAGGCAACGCCCTCTCTCGCCCTTGCTGTAGTTAAGATGATCTCTGGTGTATGCATAATAGGATCGTTAAAATACTATTTTTTAAGATCACACAAATAGGCAATTTAACAGCTACCTGTAAAACTTATTACTAATTTTTATATTATATTTGTAAGTAAATAATAGAAAAAGGTTCTTGATGTTGTGCTTTTCTGTCATTTACAGGCAAAACTATTTTGGTTTGTGTGTGTGTGTGTGTGTGTGTTTTAGATTATAAGAACCTCTTACTTTGTGGGTTCCTGCTTAATTCTTTCATTTCCATAGCAAAATGCCTTACGTTGACTTGGAATGAGATGTGTGTGAAAGTACAAGAGAAAATGAAAGCGAGCGGAAATGAGGTGGGGGTGCAAGTCAACCCATGGGGACAGATTCCCATTCTTAGCCTGATGTTCGTCACTACCCCGTCACATCAATGCAAAAGGTCCTGGTTCGGTTCCAGCAAAACACAGTGCAATGTTCTCAGAGTGACTTCAGGAACAAATTGGGCCCAAGAGCTTTAACTCACTCTTAAAATAAACAGAGTTTCCACTTTTTTTTTTATTTTAGTAACCCAGGGCCACATGTTGGAAATAAGCTAGTGATGTTGTTTTCTGCCAGCATCTAATTGATACAGCAAACCAAAACCCAAAAATATGGCCAAAAGGAAAAGACAACTAATTCACAGGGCACCTGGATTCTATTTGGGAATCCCTCACAGTCTTGTTTATTAATTTCTTCCTGATCACTGTTTCCATTGCCTGTCATCACAAAAGACATTTCCAACTTTTAAGCAAAATCCAAAAAAATATTAGACCAATATTTTCACAGTTTGTTAATATATTTTTATTTCTACTTAAAGTTTAGCTCATTTCATTATCATGTACTGTGTTTTAGTTTTTCTCCTCATTTACATCCTTAATACTCTTTATTTCTCCATGTCAGAATTGTGGTCTGTAATCATTTTGCCAGATTTTGAAACTGCACACACCGTATATATATATGCACTATTTTTCATGAAATGGTGTTCAGCAGCTTTTCTAAAAATGTTTGGTTCAAAATTTGAACATGATTTCTTGGCATAATTAAGATCAAGATAGGAAAAGGTACCACTGTTTAACTTTAAAACATATTTTGTAGTATTAAAAATTGTACACTATAGCAAGAGACAAAAATAGTGTTAACATGGGCATTAAAATGTAAAATATTTATAAGCAATTTTAGCCTATTTTCTCCTTTATTCATTGCTAATAGGGGTGCATGTCCAAACACCTTTTAGTATTGACAGCTGACATATGGCCAAAGGAATATAGTTTGTAGCAAACCATGTATATGCTGTAGCTAACTTTATGAAATTGTAATGATCATGTAAAATAATTATATATTTTGTTTTTCTTTGGTCACTTAAAGTGGCAACTACTATAGTCATAGATTCTTTATTATGAAAACAAATTAATAAAAATTTTAATTGTTTTTAAAAAAGAACAGCTTGTTTTTCATTGTGTGCTCAATAATTTATTAAATACTAATTGAGTAAGTGTTTAAAGGGAATACAAATGTTATAAGTAGACGATATTTACCTTAAGCATACAATTATCAAGGAAATATAAAAGGTCTTAAATTAAAATGCCAAATTTCTGGTCTCTAGGCTGTGTTGTTAAGTTTTATTGTTGCGAGGAAACCAATATACATACAGATATTCGGTGTTCCAAGGTTGATTACCTGGCTAATGTTCTCTGGTGGCCTGCTTTTGGAGCATTTCACTGATTAATCAGTGTTGTACCATAGGTCAAAGGTGAAAGGTTGAAATGAGATTTGGAGATTACTTATTTTATTTCACAAGCTCCTTTTGAGTCTTCACTATGTGGTGAAATTAATAAAAAGCAAAGTTCCTACTTGATAGGAGGCAAATGATAACAAAAGCCAATATAAGACAAAATGAAATAACTAAATAACTACCTACTGACGACTCTTGAAGTTCACATGCCTGTGTCTCTTAACACACAAACCCTTTCCTCACCTGCCAAATATAATCAAGAATTAGTATTTAGCCCTGTCGTTGTGGCTCAGTGGTTGAGCATCGACCTATGAATCAGGAGGTTGCCGTTTGATTCCCAGCCATGGCACATGCCTGGGTTTCGGGCTCGATTCCCAGCAGGGGGGTTGCAGAAGGCAGCTGATCAATGACTCTCTCTCATTACTGATGTTTCTATCTCTCTCTCCCTCCCCCACCCTCCCTCTGAAATCAATAAAAATATATTTAAAAAAAAGAATTAGCCTTTACTCTTTTCCCATGTAATTGTGTGAAGCCTAGTTCCAAAAGTTTCTGTGATTTATCCCTGACCTTTGCTGAATTTCAGCTGCCTAATCTCAGCCAGCACTTGGAGATATGTGTGTCCTAAATTCCAGAGGCTATTTGAGAAGTACAAGAAAGGAAACCATAGGTAGTATTCTCTTTAGTCACCAAAAAGAGCCTACCTTCTTCTTAACAGTGTCGAGTAACAATGATAATAATGCCCACACAATTTATTATAGTAAAGTAGGCAGGATAAATTCAATTTAGATTCTTGGAAGAAAACCAAGAAATGTACCAGCCCTAAATTGGAAATGTCTAGAAATCCAAATAAATTTCTAAGTTTTTGAAGAGCAATGATCCTGGACTTCTTGCTCTCAGTCATTAGTCAGCTTCGGAAGTGACAACATTAAGCAATCAACAGATCAAATACCAAATTGGAAAATCCTACCGGACACTTACAAGATGCATGGCTTACTTGAGCACAGGAAATAGTCCCATATTAGGAAGACAGTATTTTGAATGGAAAAAGTACCCTAAGTCAAAAACATATGTTATCCTTGATTGTTTTGCCAATATGGTTGACCTCAAACAAGTCAGTCAACATTTCACAGCTTCATTTTAATTATCTATAAAGTATAAATACTAATATCTACAGCTTAATTCTTAAATCAACAAATGTTGAGTGGAATTACTATATAATTTTAACATACTCTCTAAAATACAAGCATACAAAATGCAGAAGCAATAGTCCTCCCAGAAACTCACAATCTAATAGGAGAGATAGACAAATAAATAAAAGCAGTTAATATGTTATAGGCACGGGACTATCGATATGTACATGGTAAGAATTGGGAAGTTCAGGGAAACTCATCAGAATTGGTACTTGAGTTGAGCCTTAAAGAAAGTTTTCTAAGCAGACAAAAAGTTAATGGCATTGCTAGCAAAATGACTATCTTGTGGGAAAACTGAAAAAGGTAAAACAGAATGACCAGTTCAGGAAAAATAGTTAAATCCCAGCATGCCTGGGGAAGGGTTGTGAGGGGAGGGGCTCGAGAGATAAGCAAGTCAGGAAGGGCCTTGTGTCCCAAGCAATGGGGTTTGCCCTTTCCCATGGCCCATATTTCTCAAATGTCTGAGGACTGCATGCCACAGACTCACTGGGATGTCTAATTAGAATGCAGATTCCTGGCTTCTAACTCTGATTTATATCATCAGAACCTCTGGGGTGAGGCCCAGAAGTATTTTATTTAACCAAGACTTCAAGGGATTCTTATGCACCTAGAATTGGGGAGGCCTTGCAATGTAGATATTTGCAGAACACAGTATTTTAAGCAAGAAATAATAGGATAAATTCTTTTTTCATAAGACTACTTTGCAAGCAGCATGGGGCAGGGAGTAGAGGGCTACACACACAAAAGCAGTGAGACTGAATTAACAGCTACTGCAATTGACAGAAAAAAAGGAGATGAGGGTTTGAGAGAGTGTGTGGAGATGAGGAAACAGGTCTGGTCACAGGGAAAGATAGAGTCATCTTAACATATTGAACAGACA